AAAATTCATCAATCGATCCTTAGAAAACTTAGAAAGAGTGTTACTGTAGAATGAATGAATTAAGTTTGTAAAATTGGTCTTATACATATGAAAAATAATGAATCAACATCTAAATTTCCAATCAGGTTAGAATATTTTAGATTCTCATAATTAAAGGAAAACTTAAAAGAATGGCAAGTGTTTAATAATTGGTATAATTCTGATAAGACAGTATGGATTTTATTATTTCAACCTGTTGTGGTAGCTACGTAGGCTTCTGTCAAAATGCAACTTATAATGTAAAAAAATTTTTTAAAACTTTTTTTGAAATAGAGACGAAGTCTTGCTGTGTTGCCCAGGCTGGTCTGGCTCCCCTGGCCTCAAGTGATCCTCCTACTTTGGCCTTCCAAAGTGCTGGGATTATGGGTGGGAGTCACTGCACCTGGCCACAGTCTCTAATTTTATAATTGCCAAAAATCCATTTGTTAAAAGAATATTTGTCCTCATTACTATGGGCTGTAGGGCCACTGAATAAAAATTAAGAAGAAAGGAGTAATATTAGTGTTACAAGTTTAGAATATAAGAACCTTACAAAAATTTAAATGATTCACTGGAAAAGATCATATTGATGTTATTTGAATTTTATCATATCAGTTTTCACTGGAAGAAATGAAAAAACAATACTCCTTAAAACACTAAAAATTTATTATATATTCAGTATGAATTACCGTGTTCTAATGTCTTTTACATGCATATTAATTCCACCAGAAAATGCAAAAAGCTATGGGACTTGCTGTGCATAGGATTATACATTACAGGCAATGATTTAACTATGTTCTTGGAGGGAATATTTCCTCATGCTAGTTGTTATTTCTCTTTGATTTGCAAAGAAGACCTTCATTTAAAGTAAATACAGGACTCAAGCTTGTGCTGACTTAACTATTAACTTTTACACCTGTCTTTAAGGGTTCAGACAATAAACTCTGATTAATCTGAGGCTGATATTATTCTTAACTACTATACGCTATAATAAGCAGGTGCAAAAGGAATAGTTCTTAAAGTGGCAAGACCTAATTATTTTCATATAATCTAATTTTATGATTATCTCATGTCTTATTTGTTTTTCCTATAATAAATAGTAAAATGTTTAAATTACATCATTCAGGACAAAAATCAGTGAAAAGAAAGCCATACACTTATAATAATCATATCTGACCTAGGACATTAGATATAAAGAAAATAAAAGAACTTCTAGGCTAGGTGGAGTGGTTCATGCCTGTAATCCCAGAACTTTGGGAGGTTGAGGCAGGAGGATTGTTTCAGGCTAGTTCAAAACTAGCCTGGGCAACATAGGGAAACCCCGTCTTTACAAAATATTAAAAAAAAATTTAGCCAGGTATGGGGTGCACACCTGTAGTCCCAGCAATGCAGGAGGATCACTTGAGCACAGTTCAAGGCTGTAGTGAGTCATGATCTCACCACTACACTCCAGCTTGGTGACAAAGCAAGATCCTTTCTCAAGAAAAAAAAAAGAGAAAGAAAAAAAAGAAAATCTATAATAAATGAGTAGGCCAAACAGGTTAATTACGCAAAAGAATGACTATCATTCTAATTTCCAATGTCTCTTCTGTAATACTAAATGCCAGAGGCAAAGATGATCAATTTTCTTAGTGTTTTTAGGGAAAAAGATTATGTTCAAATAATTAAAAACTTTGGCAAGCTAGACAGATTTTTTAAATATGTAGACTCAGATAATCCACCTCCCATTTCCATTTCTTGAAAAAATAACTTGAAAGTATACTCTTAGAGAGGACCAAAATTACGAGTGCAACACATACAATGAAAAAATAAGTGGTTGTAGGCAGGTAAAAAGAGAGGTTTACTTTTTATTTGGATGGAGGGTGTAATGCCATGTGGAGATACTCTTTACTTTCTATTAAAAGTATCTCAATAACAAATATGGTACTGTTTATGTCAGAAAGAAAAAATTCTCAACAAAAAAACACAGTGCATGTAATAAATAAAAAGAAAAAGGAAGCAAAGTAAATTAAGAAGAGAGTGAGAAGGAACACAAAACAAAGGGACAGAGGTGGCTGTGTTCTCAGGCTAATTTACATTTACTGAAGGGCACTGAATTATGTTACAGTGCTATGGTTCAAACTCTCCCCTATAACCATATATTTACTGAAAGGTAAATTCAGAATCTCAACTTGGGATGCTAAGAAACATGCCTTTCCTTGGAAAAGAGGCTTAAGAAATTCTCATTTGCTCATTTCCCTCCCCTGCTGAATCATGGCTACAACTAGCATATAGCACTCTCCCAGAACCAAGTCATTCATGGTGGTACTTGGAGCAAGAGGAATTAGCATAGATGATGGGTAAAAAAAAAAAAAAAAAAAGTAA